GTCTTTTGAGATAAGACATGCACAGAAAAGATCTCGCAGGTGAGGAAGTGACGGCAAAGATCCCTGAGATCAGCACACGCTAACAGCAGAACATTTTCTTGTGTCTGTTTGAAGCAGACACTCATGGCTATAGAAAGTTCAATGACTCTTGGGTTGTGGGATTACATTTCCTCGCTTTCCTTCTTAGAGAACGCTGCAGGATTGGCGTTTGGCAACAGAGTTGTAAGTCATGTCATTACAGCCACTGTTTTTCACATCAAATAACTCATTCAAACTAAACTTCTCAGACAAGTGAAAACTTGGACATGTATTAGCATGTTAAGAACTATTATGACAGCAACCATGTCAAAGAAAAAATTATTGGACATGTGTTTTAATTTTAAAATACACGTCAAATGTGTTGACATGGACAAGGTGGGGTTTATGACCTATACTGCAGCCAGGCAGCAGGTGGTGCTCCAATGTTTTTTGGCTTCACTTCTGCCCTGCTGTTATGCTGTCCATTCTTTATACAGTCTATGTTTTTAACTCACAGAGTTTGCACATCAAAGATCTGAGCTGAGTCACTTCCTTTACATACACATATTAATCCCACTTTGGAATAATTGACGCGTATCGGTATTCAAGACTTGGAACTAATTGTGATAAAATAAAGAATCCCTTCCAACTTTCTGATGAATAGTCTTTTTTTAGACAGATGGGTTGGGCTTGGCAATAAAACAATCTCCATCCAAGGTTGTGATCAAATGAATGTCTTTAACGATGAAAAACTCTGAAGTTTTGTAGTGTAGTGTAGCAGTAGGCCTACTGAGATACAATAAATATGTTTCTGGTTCCATATAACATGCCATGACCCATAGCAGATATGATTCAGAAGCAAACACTTAACCAATGACTTTATTTTATACTGATGCAATAGCTGAATAATCTTGGTTGTTACTCAATATTCCAACATGATGTCCCTCTGTCAATTTTTAGTAGACTTTCCCAAATGAGATTTAAAGTTGTACTTGGTCTGATCAGGTCATATTGAAATGAGTCTGAATGTAAGAGGGGACGAGATGTATCTGCCAAAGAAAATAAAAGATAACAGATTTGTTCCAATACAAAAAGAAACCAAGTCCAAAATACTAAACAATAACTCCTACCTGACACTTGTATCTTCATTTATTGGAACCAGGAGTGCTTTGGGCTGCCAATGGAACACTGATGGAAAACGCTTTAAGACAGATCCTGTCAGTACTGTTCAACTGCCGCAGCTTTTGATTTTGTGTGTGACTACCCACTATAGTAAATCCTATTTGCACATACAAAACATTGCCACACAACATGTAGCGGCTTGATCGTGCTCATTATAGCTCTTGCGAACCCAAAGCTTCTCACACTTTCAATGTGCATTTCAAAGGCTGGGAGTGGTGAAACTAGACTTGTACCTGTGAAATAAATCACTCCAGATCCAATCTATGAAACTCTTCTTGATTTGGCATGTACATATTCATTAACTTAATAATCACTAATGACTTCTATACCTTTCACTTTGAGTACTGCCCAGATTATAATGCTTTATTCATTCAGGGAAAATATTTGTCTTGGCTGGTGACCAAGGCTGGATCTGATTAAGGGCTACAGCATGTAAGCAGCTTAATAAAGCCATTTCTGGTCTGTTGCATTTCATGAACTTTTACTGTTGATTTTAGCTATTTGAAGATGGAAGGCGGTTGGTGGGTTTAAAATTAAATACATTATGGGCTTGTGTAATTTTATATTGTATGGCCTTAGATTTTGACATTGAACATAAAACAGTGCATGTTATAGCTTTAAGTCCTAAAGAACCAGTAAGGAGTCTTGAAGTCTGCCAGCAAGTGACCAGTCAACACTATTTAATGCCCTCCCAATTAAAGCAGTGAACCATGCCTGATGTACAATATGACCATGTACATCGGAATGGATCCATTTATTAATTATTTCATGCTGAAAGAAAGTTTCTGTTGCTGTGTGAATGTAAATTCAATCAAAAGCTTTATCTTCAAAGAGAAAGCTTTCTGGTACAACTGTAAAAAATGTTAAAACAACACTTCATCGGAAAGGAAAGAGAAACAAAAGAAGACAAGTTCCAGTGAATAACATCATTTATCTTGAAAATTACTCAGCAGGACAGCTCAAGCAGAAAAAACAAGGGAGTGACAGATGCAGATCAGAGTTTGACTACATTGACTCATCCTTTCTCCTCCAACTGAATTCATGTTTGATATAATACAAAGCCAATCGTGCATTACTGAGAATTGTTGTCATCTCGAGCTTAAAACTACCAGCGCCTGAAATAGAAAGTGGGAGCTGTTGCCAGAGCACTTAAGGATCATGCAATCCTCCCACATTCCTAATGTGATCTGTTACAGAATCGTTTCCTTCCATTTGTGTTGGACCCCCAGAGTCCAGTCTAAACAATCTGATACAGTGCAACTCTCTCCCTCTCCCCTCTCATACTTGCAGCATTACCTAAGACGTTCAACATTAGTCCTTGCCAAAAGAGACATGGCTCTGACATCTTGGAGGCTACACACATTTGTTCCACAAACTCGGGGGGCAACCTAAAACCTTCCTGTGCAGTTGACCTGACAGACAGCAGGGCTGGGAGCAGCAACCAGTGAGGTTTAGTTTGAGTGTGTGCAGAATTATGGGGTGTGAAGAGGTGCTTCAACCAACTTTATCCTCCTTCGCTCACACTCAACTCCCACTCCTTCTGCCTAATTAACAACAAAATACAACTGCAGTGATTTAGAACTGCTCTGTCCACTGAGGCGGGTTTGTCCAAAGGTCATCTGCCTACCTGTCAGGACCTCCGCTCTGCGCTCTGAGCAGAGCAGCAGCCCCTTCAATACACAAGAATGGAGAAAATGTCAAGCAGCTGGATGTAGTTTATATATTTTACATTTCATTTTAATAGAGATATTTTTCTAGCCTGCTGCCAATTCTGATACTTATAGAATTGAGTATTGGCAGATAGCCTATATCCCTATAATACCACGTGATAGCCTAAATAACTTTTTTAAATGTAGGACTATATTACTTTTTAACAGCTTTGTCAAACTTACTCAGTGATGGAATTGCAATCAATTTTGTTTTGCCTGGCCCAGTATATTGAAGGAATAATAGTCTAAAATGTGGCAATCTACAAACCAGCTTGTGGCCACTCAGTTAGCAGCATCTAATGACTTCATGTGTCTGATAAAGAGTGTCAAAGAAACTCTGTTTTAAAAGCTAAAACTGTTGTCTTTTGTTTTTAAAATTGAATACTTTTCGTACTTTTAATTTAAAAAAAAAAAAAATCTTAAAATGCATTTGTGGGAAACATTGCTAATAAATTGCTAGCTAACTCAACTTTTCACAAAATGCAGCTAATACTTTCAATGTTGTATAATGTTAGGCTAATATTTGATGTATCGTATTTAAGCGGCAACCTCCGGTGTTGAAAATGAAGCCGGTGCGGAAGTGCAAAAACCTGAGCAACGAAAGTCATGAAGTAGAGATAGAGAGTAGAGAAGTAGGTTACAGCCTGGTTTGAAAATCTTCAAGAGCTGGTTTCCTTGAATGTTTTTAAAGGTCGTCTTAATGATCTGGAGGCAGAAATATCTGACTGTAGATGTTTTAGCTAACTCGTTTTGCCCTTTTTGATCGCTTTTTTGCTGATGACTTATGACAGATTCTGATGAACGGTTCTTTTTGTGATTCCTGTATTCATGTTAATTGTTGTTAAGTGTTTTATGTCTGAAACCCTGTAATTGTGCTGCTGCCTGTCTTGGCCAGGACGCTCTTGTAAAAGAGATTTTTAATCTCAATGAGACTTTTTCCTGGTTAAATAAAGGTTAAATAAAAAATTTAAAAAAAACGAAACAGGTCTGATTAGCTCATTTCTCGATCGGCACACACTGTACGAGGTTGAATTTTTTGATAACATCTGTTTTGATTTTATGAAGCATAAGCGTTATTCAGAATAAGATGCGTAGCTGACCCAATTTTCAAGAGGGCTTAAAATCCACCTCAGCTCCAGCACTTAGCCTGTCGTTAAATTGACTGAAAGATTGAGGAAACATTTCCTGCATGGCAACCGCCATCGATGGGACTCCAAAGACCCCTGCAGTAACAGATGGTTGACGCATCTCAGGCTTCTTCCATTATTGTTCATAGTCTATGATTGTATTTTATGTTAGTATGCTGCATTGAGTGGAGTAGCCTATTGCCGATAGTGCTCTTTAAGTTTTTCTTGTTTGTTTGTTTTTTTTCTTTACTCATGTCAGAATAAATCTTTCCAACACATCACCACCTAGCACTATAATCAAAGCCAATAATGAACATGAGTCATTTTATAGCTTGTTTGTCATGAAGCGTGAGAGAAACCATTGAAGCATGATGAAAGGAATTAATCAGGAGAAAACTGACAAACAACTTGATGTAGGCAGAACGCTCCAGTTTGTTATGTTACAGTAAACACAGACAAATAATTACAAGGCAAGTGAACATTGTGGGGAGCACGTGTACAAATGTTTACTGCAGTTTATCTTTGCCTCATAACGCTTTTCTGTTTGTGGTTCAGACTCAAAAAAGAAAAAAGGACCAGTCTATAACCCCCAGTGACATGACACTGAGATGTTCTGCAGCTGTTCAGCAAAGGAGGAAATAGAACCAGGAGGATAATAGTTTGAACTTTAACAAAGCCTGTGGGGGACTTTTTATTTCATTTTGGGATATTCATTGTTTTAAAGTAGCTTTTATTCCCCAGCCCCATATTTAAGATACATTCCGTCTCCTACTAATGTTACTTCCGTCCATTGAAAGACACATCTATAGTACTGTAAACTACTCGGCTCTAAAATAAACAAAACGTTTCCTTTAACATTGATGGGTCATGATGAGGGGAACTTTTGCAATATCTTAAATGAAAAAAAATCTCTATTTTGCCCTTCCCCTTTCCCAAATCAGAATCTGATCATCAAGATACTCACACTGGAGTTGAGTCGGCTTCACGCGCCTCTCGTGAAGCCGCTCACGAGCCACGACGACCACCAATCAAGCTGATGAATCAAACGAGTTGACAGGTGTCTGTGGGGTCTTTTGGTGAAATAAGTGCGTGTGTATCCTCAGCATCTCTCGTGCTCATGTTGACAGACACCGGCTGGGTTTTGTCGAGGAAATGAGCGACTTTCCGGAGTCTCCATCTGACTGAGCTCCCCCGCGCGCAACAGCGAGTGAAGAGGAGGGAGAGGAGAGGAGAGGAGAGGAGGGGAGAGGAAGGGAGGGGAGGGGAGAGGATGGGAGAGGAGAGGAGGGGGGAGGGAGAGGAGGGGAGAGGAAGGGAGGGGAGGGGACATTACATTGTGATGAATGAATTACAATTTAAAAAGCAGATCATAGTAAGTTTCTCCTACAAATGTACCTGATTGTTGATGCGCCGAGGGGAAAAGAGTTCACCTGTTACCTTATTAAAAGTTATTCTTACACACTCATCTGTAAAATGAGCCGTATTAACTGAGCTATTATTTCACGCACTGATTTATTGTTATAGGACATTAGCTCAATACATTGTTTTCGATTGGGCCTGATTTTAATTAAAAGAACTAACTATATGATCATGTTTTATATCCACGTAATAATCCGGAAGTTTAACTCTAAGTTTAACAGCTGTTAGCTAGCAGGAGTTTGCTCTTTTCCCATAGCGATGAAAAATGATTTTACTTTACCGTAGAGTTTTTGCTTTTAGTCCAAGTGTTTTGTGCATCAGCAGGTGATTTTGGTTGTCCTTGGCATTTTGAATGTTACTTTCTTGGCACCTTTGTTTTGTTCAGTATTAATGTGTTGAGGTAGGCCTACTTGTGCCTGCTTTGTATGTTACGTAAAGAACATGTTAGTTTTAAACACAAGATAATTGAAGTACCTGCTACAAACAATTCCCAATCCTCATTTCTCCCCAAGAAACATTTTAAGCACCTCATTGCCCCTGACTGAAGTTTTCTGCTTTTTAAAATTGTAAAGCCCTTTCAGTTACATTTTATGTAAGAATGTGCTATGAAGGATATTAATAGAGTCAAAATTCTGTTCACAATGCCCCAGTGAGCTCATGAAATCGGTAACATACAATAAGATGTGCACAATCTTCTTCAAATGGTGCCTTTTATTTACTTTGGCTAAAATATAAAAGGTTCATTTCTATGAACAAACCAGACTGTTTGAATGCAGCGTAGCACTTCAAGCCTTGAAATAATCCCCACTTCATTATTTAATCTCTGTGTGGATGTTCAGCCTTTGTCCACCTGGAAAAAGAGATGAAAAGGTATTGAAGCAAAGCACAGTATGGCCTTGAGCTAAATAGTGAATAGGTGTCTTTGAAGCTAACTCTCTATAGTCCTTGTGATACTTTAATTCATTAAAGGTCCCATATTATGCTTTTTCTGGTTTTATATGCCCTTCAGTGTGTTTTCCAAGTGTCCTGTGCATGTTTAGGCAAATTTATGTGCAAAAGTTCAAAGTCTGCGGAAACGCGGCTTCTCCTACGACCTCCTGTTAGCTGTAGCATTAGCCGCATGTAACGCTCGGTTCTAGCCCCCCTCGATAAAAATGTGTCAGTCCGACGTCATTGTCAGTGTGAGATCACTGATCTAAGCCCATTGGCTCGTTGTGGCAAGCCCAGCAGCTCATGTTTAAATTTCCGAGAAGCGTGCTGAGCAACTGACCAATAACGACAGAGCGGATCGGCAGACCAATCAGAGCAGACTTGGCCCACGTGGGGTCTAACAGTGTGGGCTCAACAGAGTGCAGCTGACGGACTCAGAGCAGAGAGGGAGCAAGGAGGAGCAGTACATGAAAACAGACACTTTTTTCGGACTTTAGCTATTGTGAACGTACAAAAGTAGGTACATAGATTAAATATACGAACCCCAAAAAGGGCATAATATGGGCTCTTTAAGACATTGTGTTTGGTAGCTGACAAATGCAGGTGTTTGTTTTAAACAATATAATGTAATCAAGGTTATGCAATGTTTACAGTTAGTATGACTGTAACAGCTGTGCATGCACGTGCAGGTGAATATCACTAGCTTTTGATTGAGGTTGTGTTGTTTCAAGCTAATGGAGAATGTTTTCTTCATTAGTTGTTATGACTCATTCAGTGAGTGGGAGTCAGCAGGGGTGTTTCACAACCTCATGCTAAGAGTAATGATAACAAACTACAAGTTCTGCTGAGCAAAGACTGAAGTGCCAGTCCACAATAATATGGCAGAGTGGTATTCATTCTTTTATTTACTGAATAAAGGCAAGTCTTTTTTTTTTCTTCAATTTAATTAATGATGAACACCTGTGACAGTTAATGTTTTTCTATCTCAGGAAGAGGAATCATGTATGTGGTGCTCAGAATAACCTGGAAGTTATCAGGTTATTCTTGACCATCTGTTATCAGTTAAGATGTGCAAGCAGCAAGCCAACCAATCATATTCTGTATGGTGTCTGTCTGGAATCACCTCATTGTGCATAAACATAATATACATGTCTCATATGTTATTATCATTTGAAACACTACACTGGCAACAGGTTTATTTTTCCTCTCCAGTTGATGCCTGTGACTCACGCCAGGTTCACAATGTCCTGTCTCGTCAGCAGTCAGACATTTATTGAATGATTTTTATATACTTGAAATGTTTTTACTCTTTTAAACTGCATTGAAAAAGCTCTGTAAATTTGAAATGTGACATCACATATACAGTATATACCTATTTTGCAAACGCTGCTGTATAGGATTGCTGCAAACAAAGTTTTGTTGTGTTCTTTTTACAATGACGATAATGAGTCTGCCTATCTGTCACTTTGGGAAAATTGTTATTAAATTCAAACAAGACAACCAACACAAAAACACCATGTCCAAAAAGTAAAGTTTATTGTCAGTAACAGTCCAAATTGACATGGATGGGTTCACCATGATGAATCATGAAGTAATAATATACAGTACTTAGAGCATATACAGTAAATAATAGAGCATTCTCTATAAACCCTGCCCCCCGACATGTTTCCTCCTCCTTACAGGAAGGACTTTCACTATGTTGTTGAGAGCGATCTCCCTCGACATTCGTCATGACATCTGTTTCTTGCAGGAAATAAACACACAAAGAGTAAGAGAAATGAAATAAAATGTTGAGGCTGCCATGATGTTCATCTTTGGGGCTCCCACCGGTAGCAACTTATACAACGTGAGATGGTTCATTTCTGACAAGTGAAAGAGGCAGCCTGTGGAAACTGATGCTGCTGTATAAAGATAAAGTCTCATTTGAATAACCTGCCTTCCCTTCAGAGCATTTCCATATGCATGAGACTCTGAGTCTAATTGCGGATAATTCCTGTTAAATTGTTTGTGATTTATTCACATCTCTCAGAGAAGCATGAGCTGTGTGTGAGCGTCTAACAAATGATTTCCCCACTGAGTCACCTGAACCAGTTCTCATCAGTTCAAGTATAACAAATGTGTATGTTAATCAATGTACTCACGTTCATAAAACTAACTTTTAAAAACTTTAGGTCATTTTCTCGGGGTAGCAATTTAATTCTATTCAATTCAATTTATTTTGTATAGCGTCAACTCAAGTGTTATCTCAAGACACTTTACAAAAAGCAGGTAAAATACCTTACTCTTTGTCTGTTAACATTACAAAAATGCCAGTTTGTCATGCCTGCATAATTACCAACCAAATACCTGCATAAGATATCCACTACATCCTCAGCTTTACTTGTTGAGTGCTGACTTACACTAACGTGTCACTTTCAGCAGTGAACAAGGGGACTATTACAGTACACCATCACAGTACAGTAATGTTGTCATTTTGACCATGTTAGCATAATCATGTTTGACAATAGTTTTCTTAAATGCACAAAATATCACTTGTTTAAGAGAATTCACACAATATTTCCTCTACTGCACTAGCACTGGTTTAGCAGAGGAAAGTTTCCTTTTAGTTTCTTTATTTAGATTTTCACAATGACACTGTTTTGACTTAAATGTCAACGTGAAAGGAGTAGTATTCTCTAATATGAAGCTCATCATAGCCAAGGAGAGCTTAATTAAGGTGATAATACTTCCAGCTCAACCTGTTTTTTTAACAGGTTTGACTGCCAGGCCACTGCAGCTAGTGTCTGATCCCCCAGCACCTCTCTTCACACCCCCACCTCCCCTGACGACAACACCACCCATACTGCCACCAGGACAAAGACAACACCTCCCCCTCCCTCCACACTCAGGGACTGTTCACCCCTTTAACCCCCTCCCTCCCACCATTACCAAGGAGCAGGTGAGCAGAGAGCTGAAAAGACTCCGTCCCAGCAAGGCAGCAGGCCCGGGCAGGGTGTGTCCAAGGATGCTCAAGGCTTGTTCTGCCGAACTGGGGGAGCCGCTTCAGCATGTCTTCAACATGAGCTTGCGGCTTGGGAAGGTCCGTGTGCTCTGGAAGACTTCGTGCCTCACCCCGGTCCCCAAGAAAAAAAACACCCGGTGAGCCAGGCGACTTCAGGCCAATTGCACTGACATCCCACGTCATGAAGACCTTTGAGCGGCTGCTGCTCCATCTACTCAGAGCCCAGATCCGTGATAGTTGGTTGTGTCAGGGATGGACAGGAGGAGGAGTACAGGAGCCTGGCAGGGGACTTTGTGACGTGGTGCAGTTCGAACCATCTGCAGCTGAACACCTCCTAGACCAAGGAGATGGTGGTGGACTTCCGAAGGAAGAAGCCACATCCCTTACTTGTTTCCATCAGGGGGGTTGACGTGGAGGTGGTCAGGACCTACGGGTACCCGGGGCTGCAGTTGGACGACAGGCTGACTGGGACAGAGCCGTCTGTACTTCCTGAGAAGGCTGGGGTCCTTCAACATCTGTAAAAAGCTGCTGCAGATGTTTTACCAGTCTGTGGTGGCCAGTGTCCTCTTCTATGCTGTGGTGTGCTGGGAGGAAGCAGCAAGAAAGCTGGTGAGGAAGGCTGGCTCTGTGGTGGGCGCAGAGCTGGACACTCTAGTGACAGTGGCAGAGAGAAGGACCCTGAACAGAATGCTCTCCATCAACACACCACCACCCTCTGCACAGCACCTTCAGCAGGCAGAGGAGTGTGTTCAGTGGCAGACTGCTGTCACAATCTTGTTCCACAGACAGACTCAAGAACTCTTTTGTCCCCCTGGCCATACGTCTGTACAACACCTCACTT